CTGACAGGGAGAGAGAGAGAGAGAGAAAGGTAAAGTGGTGCAGGGCCGAGTGTGACTAGGGGCCTGAGTGATAACCAGGAAAGTCTTACTGAGGAAGAGTGGGGTCTGGATGGCCAATGAGGAGTAACAGGAAGCTTTCCAGGTTCTTTCATTTGTGAGACAGCTCTGAGTTGACCACAGCGGGGCCCTGTGTGAAGCAGAGGGCTCAAGTGCCTGAGGAGACAGGTGGAGGGGGCCCTCAGGAGGGTGGTGGCAGATGAAGGGAAGCCAGGTGAAGACCATCTTTTCCTGGTCTGGTGGCAGAACACATCTGGGCTCTCAGGGACCACTGGCCCCCTCTGTAGGCCTGCCTGCTCTGGTGGGGTGTTCATTCCAGCCTGGGGGAACCACACAGACAGAATGGGGGCAAGAAGAGATTCAGATGGGGAAATGGCTCTCACACATGACCAAGCCCAGGAGCACAGCCCAGCTTGTACCAGTAGGACAAGGAAAGAGGTAACTGGGACTGCCCTGCTAACCAGGGTCATCTTGCCGGATGGGAGAGGGTAGCTCCTGCACCCTGGCCCACAGTGGGCAGGGAGCAGCAGAGACCTGCAGACACTTGTGGCAGCTGCCAAATGACAGCTGGGAACAGAGGCAAGAGGGAAGGGATGTGGGAGCAGGAGAGAGGGTCTAATCTAAGAGCTGGGCTGGCCTGTCAGTCAGTCTGTCTGTTTGCCCATCGGCCACGGGCCTCTCCTTCTCAGGGGAGCCACGCTGCATGGACAGGTAAAGCCACTAGACCGGCTCAATCATTGTATTTATTCTAATTGTATCGTAATCGTCCCCAAGGAGCCTGGTTCAAATGAGCTTGACATTATTAAAATTTTAATGCCCAGTTTTCATAGCTGAATGAATATTTAAAGGGTATGTCCCAGCTTAAGTTATGATGATGAAGAAATTAATGGAATGTCTTGTTTAATGCATGGATATGTGTTGATGCAAAAAGTGGCAGAGATGGGTAGGGGGAGGGAAGGCAGAGCCTGAGCAGAAGGGGTCTGGGTGGGAGGGAGCTACCCACCTGCTGCCTTCTGCTGTGCTTGGGAGCAGGGAGGGGCCCAGTTCTGCGCCAGGACCACCATTCACTCCCCCTGAGAGGGCCCTGGGCCAGGAGCAGAAACATAGTAGACAAAAGTTGGTGATGTGTCCCCGGAGGCCTGACTCCAGAAGCCTGCAGGGAGCTGCTCCTGTCCCAGGGAATGTCACCCTGAGTCACCAAACCCCGCTCAGGCACCTGTAGGCATGATCAGGACTGTAGACCACTGGGGCACATGGGGACTCTGATGATACCTCAGAAAGAGAATCAGCAAGGAAGGTGCCTGCATTCCAGCCCAAGTCCGCACCCGCCCCTATCCCCTGGCCCTCCTGGAAGGACGACACCATGGCTGAGGGGGATGTTGGACGGAGGAGCACGAGGTGGGGAAGGGAAAGGCACCACGAAGTGGGCTCTGGCATCCTGGAAGCACAATGTTCATCTGTAAGAAATGCCCCAGGACCTGCGTGGCTGAGAGGTCCTGAGGCCATGGCCAAGGTCCTAGGGTGCAAAGTTAGAAGAAGGACCAGAAGGTGACACATGCCCTTCCCACCTTCTTCTCCATTACCCTTTCTCCCCTTTTTTGATGTCCCCTTCCTCACTGGCCATTTCCGCACCCAGGCTTGGTCTCTTCTCTCCAGGACAGGCTCAGTCTGTCCACTCCCCCCTCCTCAAGGTGAAACCAAACCTTGGTGAGGCCGGATGGGGCCAGAGTCTGGAACAGGGAAGGGAGCCACTGACTGAGGGAAGTTTTCCCTAGAGGCCAGAGGCATCTGTACAGAGCCTGCTCCAGCAGAGAAATCTTCCCAACAGGGCCTGACACTTTATTTCTGCTAAGAATTAAGAAAGCACCAGCCGTATTTTTTCTCTCCATCTACCTGGCACCTCTCTGACAGCCCTGCAAAGGCTGTCTGGATATTGACCATCTCTAGATCATAATGGGACATGAAAAATGACCCAGGAGCCAACTCAATTCCCTCTGCCAGTCTGTGGGTACCTAGCCCATGGCTGAGGGCAAGTGGGAGGTTGGACAAGACCCAGGAAGCCCGTGGTCAAATTAGAGGGAAGCAGCGGGGCCTGCGTGGAGGCCCCAAGTTGTGGGGGAGGCCTGGTCAGGGAGAGCTTCCACGGGTGGCGAGCAGGGAGCACATCAGGCCTAAGCTGGGAAGCCCGGGGCAGAGTACTCAGTCACAAACACCCAGGTACCATCCCTTCCTCATCTCCACAGCGGCGGAGCCCAGCTGGGTCTGGTTCATACACGTCTACTTGCCGCTCCTCAGCCATACCTTTCTCTCCCTCCTTGCTAGGAAAGTCCGAATCCTCCATCTGGCCCCCTGCTCTCCCTTCTTCTGCTTTGACCTTTCCTGGACCATCCCCAAGCCTGTCGTGCCTGGTTTCCAGCATCCCCTAAACATGCAGTCAGGTGTCGAGAGTCCTGGTTCATCTTAATATCATCACTTGCCACCTGGGTGACCTCGGGCTACTTTCTTCACCTCTCTGAAACTCCCATTTCCTTGGTTAAAGTTGGACCAACTTTAGTTGCATGCATCATAGTGGAAGTTATGATAATACAACAATATAAGCCATGTAGCAGCTACTCGTGTTCCTCTGGGTGTAGCGGTGTTGTGCGCCCTTTGGGATACCTGAGTTTCCCTCCTTGCAACTCAGTTCTCAGCCTTGCTCTACCTTCTAAATGGAAAAGAGAAATTTTTTGCAGGACGCTTCCCAAAGGGGTACCAAGAAGCCTTCATAGTCAAGAGGAGGTTGGCGGGGGGTGTGGGAGACAAGCTTGCAAGTTAAGGGAATGGATTTGGGGGAGGAAGGTACTGGAATGTAAAGAGTGGAATGATGCAAGAGGTGGTGGGGGCCAGATGGGAGAGGCCATGCTGAAGAGGCTGTCCTTGATTTGGTGGCCAAAGAACCTGGCCCCAAACTCCCCTTGCCAGATGGACATTGTCTCCACTGACTTCCTGCCTGGGCTCCCTCCTTCCAAGGGCAGCTGGGGTCAAATGAGATTAAGTATAGACGGGACGACCCACCATTGTGTTGTTAGCACTGTGCCTACCTGTCTCGGCTGAATCCCAGATGTGCTGCCCCTCGGAGCTCTGGCTTGTCATGAGTGCGTGAGAGAGAACACTCTCTACCTCAGAGAAGTGTAATAATTACACAAGCAAGAGAGCTGTGAAAGATGCCTCAAGGAAGACAATGGCCAGAACTGGGTCCAGGTCAGTTATGGGGCCTTTCTGTAGGACAATACTGCAGGTTTGGGGAAGACTAAGACAAAGGGGTGTTCTAGGAGGAAGGGGCAGTCTAGGAAAGGGTGGGTGCTGAGTCCCGAAAGTACTGATGGGAAACAAGGAGGGCCTTTTGGAGCCTTTCGCCTACAGCCAAATGCCCGTTCAGCCTTCTGGAATGGAGGTGGCGTGTGGGGAAGCCAGGGCCCCCTAAGTGAAGCCAGGAACTTCATTATGTCCATCTTCCCTCTCTCTGTGACTGGAGCTCTCCGCGACACAATAGTTTCCTCTGCTGGCAGAGCTTACATACAGAAACAGAGCACCTTTCTTCCCCTCAGCTCCTTAAGGTGTACCAAGTGGGAGCCACGTGGCAAACAACGGCACCCTGACCCCTTATCAGTGGACTGGCCCCCAGTGTCCTGTCTTGTCCTCCTGGCCACCTGGCCTCTTTTCTCTGTTCTGTACCCTGCCCGTGTCCCTCCTGGCAGTGAATCTGCCCTTCCCCGTTGCCACCTTGCTGACTCACCAGCACCCGCACTTCCTCACCCAGCTGTCTTGATGCAGCCAAAACTCACTTCGAACGGGAGACCAGAAGGCCTGAGGAAGCTCGTGACTGGCTAGTCCAGCCTCCGGACACTAGGGGAACTGGCAACAAAAAGTCACCTGGTGTGGGATGGAAGCTCCAAAATAGCCCCTGGCAGATCCAGCTTCCCAGGGCCATCCTGCCAGCGTGGCCCTGCCTCAGCTTCTCCATCTGTAAAATGGGGGTGTTAGTGCCTCTCCTGCCTGCTCTCAGGGTTTGTGTTTTAGAGAGATATGCAGATGTGATCAGGGATCGGGGAGGGGCCGGGTGCACGGCAGGAAAAAGCACTAGCAAAGACATAAACTATGATTCTATTTGTGTGATTCCTACCATTTTATTGCTTGAAATATCTCAGGACCTCGGGGCTGGAGAGCCCCCCCTCGTGCCTCAGCATCAGGGAGAATTAAAGACAGGCTGCGGAGCTGGGATGCTTGGAGTTCAGAGACCCCTAGTGGCCTGAGCTGGGCATGAAGCTGATCCCAGAGAGAGGCTGGCAGCCCGGAGGCTCGGGGAATCAGGAAGTGTCCTGGTGTCCTCTTGGCACCCCGCAACCACGGGGGACAAGTGCCTGCGCCCACTCCACACACACACACACACACACACACCCGAGGGACCTGGCTGCAGTCAGGAGCCCTAGCCCAGAGGTTCTGGGACCCCAGGACCCACAGCCCACATATGCGAGATGGCATGTGGTGGGGTGAAACGTGCTGCCATGCCAGGCGTGGGCAGGAGGCAGTCTGCAGCAAGAGACCAGTCGTTTTTGCAAAGCCAGCTGTGAACCAGGGTCGACCAGAGCTGCACTGTGGGGACATCGCAAATTCTGGTATCGCAGGCTAGCAAGAGCTGCTCAAAGTTGGGATGGAGACACCACACCGTCTCTAACCCAGAGCAACCCTCCTGCAACAATGGAGCCCCAGATACTGCATAGGCGAGGGGGGGGCCTTAGAGAAGACATGCAGGTTTGCAGCTGTGTGGGTGCCTGGACGTACGTGTCTGTAGCTGTGGTCTGTGTGCCTATCTACCTATGAATACCTGTGCACCTCTGGGTGTGGGTGTATCTGCCCCCCGCCCCCAAGCCTGCTCTAACACTGTCCCCCGTGCTCTGTTGCAGATGAACCGGCCGATCCAGGTGAAGCCTGCGGACAGCGAGAGCCGAGGAGGTAGTAGCTGCCTGCGCCAGCCCCCTTCACGTGAGGGCCCACTTGTCTCTGTCCCCCTCCTCCCACTCCTTCCCTCCCTCTCCCCAATGCGGCCATGCAGCGACTCCCTGCTGCCTCCTCCTGCTCCCCTGTCCCGTGTCGGGGTTGGGACCCGGCTTTGGAGCTCTGGGTGATGGTGGGGAGACAGTGAAGGGGAGGGGGTATGACTGGTGTCTGCTGGATGGTGGGGTTCAGTCCTTTCCTCCTTGAGTGAGTAAACAATTACATTTCTTGGGACACGGTGTCTGCTGGTTGGTGGGGTTCAGTCCTTTCCTTGAGTGAGTAAACAATTACATTTCTTGGGACACTCTTCTACCCCCTTTAGGACACCTTAAAGGTGTGCCCACCTCCATGTCACCAAGGAAACCCCCAATGATGGGACTTGCCCAGTTTAAAGATTCCCTGGTCGAAAGATTGGAAATGGATGGTCCAGGGCAGAGCGGGCAAATCTGAGAAAGGTTGCCCGTGGGAGCATTGGACCGCTGAGGTGGAGATCCTGGAGATCGATTCAGGGGGGTATGGAGTTGTCTGAAAGTGGACAGAGCAGGCCTCGCTCCAAAAACAGGGCCCCCGTTCTCTGAGAGGAGATTCGGTCCTCCTCACCGCCGGGAGCGCACCCCCAGTGCACACAGAGGCTCGACCAGGCCAGGCTCTTGGCTTCCTCTGCCAAGCACCTGCCGTCCCGGGTTCGGGCCCGGCGCCTGTGCCCACACCATGCCCTCTGCCCCTTGGCTGTCCCCACCTGGGCATGGACAGGTCGCTCTCCTCTCACTTCAGGCAGGCGCTGAGGAACTGAGGAATTTTTCTCTCACTTCCCCTCCCTACACCCCACGACGCCCCCAAAAAAGTTTTTTAGAAAATTAAGAGCAAAAAGTAAAATAGGCAAAAGCTACTTGGCAAAATTCAGAGTCAAAATCCTAAGGGAACTACACAGTGCGGTCACAAAAGGAGACTGCCTGCTCCTGGCATCCGTGGTCCCTCGGGCTGCCCTCTGGGCCCCAGCAGGGCCTGACCTGGGGACGTGGCCTCTATGGCTCTGGTCCCCTCCTGACCTGGGCCTTGAATCCCACCCACCAGGGCCCAGCTGGTATCTTGCCGCGGCTCCCAAACGGGGCCCCATGTCCCAGGGCACAGACACACCTTCCTGTGGACCCGCCGAGAGCTTTCTGTCCAGAGGACCTTGGTAGTGGAGATGGGTCAGTTTAGGGGTAAAGACGGTTCAGGCGCAAAGGGCCTGAGCGAGTAGAGCCCACTTGGGTTACACTGCTGCTCCTGCCCGCTTCCTGGCACTCAAGTTACTTCAGTCTTCTCTGCACACAGAGCTCCTCAAACACCCCGTGCCAGGCGCCCTTGGCCTGGCAGTGAGAGCTTTGTCCTTCCAGGGTCTCACGCAGGGCTTCTCCTCAGTGGCACATGGCAGAACTGAGGCTTCTCCTGGAGTCCATCTCTGGAAGGCAGGCCCAGCAGGGCCTGGGCCCAGCTCACCCCATCATGCAATGACTCACCTGCAACACCCTGTTGGTGTAGTAGGGCCAGGATGCAGCCGAGAGCCCCCCTTCCTAGGGGGTAGCTCAGAGACTAAGTGCCACCTGCAGTTCCAGAGACAGGCTCCCCAGGAAGAAGACAGCCAGAGAGAGGCCTTGGAGGAAGTGGCCTTGAAGGAGGGGAGAGTCCACACCTGGAAGAGTCGAGCCCCACGGAGGGAGGCCCCTAAGTGGCAACAGGGGGCCCATCCGGTGTGGAGCAGACAGCTCAAAGTCCAGCCAGTTTTCTCCAGAATGGGAGTGAGGTGGCGGGAACCCCTCTGCTGAGCTCTAACTCAAACCCTTCTTCCCTTCCGTTGCCTCAGAGGCAATAGTTCTCTGACTGCAAGTTGCTAACCTCATCTCCTTTCTCCTATATATCTCCTGCCTCTGACACTTGCCCCAAACCAGATTAATCAGCTCTTTTATTCTTCCTGCGGTGGAAAGGGGGAAAGCAGAGCCAAACCTAAACATCTATCTATTAATTGCATATTCAATATTAAACAGTGAGATGATCCTGAGTCAGCACGATCACCATGCTAGTTTTTAAAAAGAGAAAGTCAGTTTAAAATAATTTAATATCCATTAAATACTTCTTCTGGGAGGAAGGGATGGGGGAGAGGTGAACATTTAAAAAAATGAAAGAAATGGGAACGGGAGGAGGGTATGAAGGCAAGGATGGGAGTGGAGGGAGGAGTAGGACTCAGTGGGAGAGGAAGAGCTTAGGAAGGTGAAAAGAAAAGGACCAGAAGGAGGGGGAAGGAGAGAGGCCTGGAAGAAAGCGGGTCGAGGGGAAGATGCAAGGCTGCTGGGAAGACTCTGGGCGCAGCTAGGAGGGGAAAGGAGGAGCCGGGAAAAGGAAATGGCCCCGAAGGAAAAGGGTGGGTCTGCCCCGCCCTGGCTCTCCTCTGACCAGCTCCAGAAACCATTCCCAAAGGCCCTGAGGACATGGGACGTACCCTTAGGATTCCAAGTGCACCTGAATGCTCAGGAGCAGCACAAAGAGATGAGTTTTCTGCTTAGGATTTGAAGTTCATGCCTCGGGCCAGGGGGCAGGAAGAAGACATCTCCTGGCCCTGCCCACCACAGAGGGAGGCCAAGGCCCACTGCAGTCCCATCAAGATCCCAATTTCTTATTCCAAATCTCGTGCTCCTAGAAGCATCCCGTAGTCACATCGGCCCACGCTCAGAGGAGGAGGAGTCCGGGGCCATGTGTGGATGCAGAAGGGTGGCAGGAGGTCTGCGTGTGCTCCAGTTTCCAATACGAATTGCTAGCTGATGCTGACAGGCCGCCATCCTGTCGGGAACGGTCAGGGGGCTTATTTGTTTTTCTCTGGTATGGGCTTGGCTCCAACCTTACCTCAGAGAGACTGGAGTGAAGATACAGGGCTCAGAGATGCACTGAATGTAAGGAAGAGGGGCTGGCTGGGTGCTCGGCTGGGACGCCTCGGAAAGAGTACAGGATGGCAGTCCTGGTTCTGGCCCTTCTTTGCCCAGAATGCGCTCCTGCCCAGGCATCCCACTCTGGGCCTCTACCCTGGTGATAGGAAGACTCACTATCCAGTAAAGCTGCTGTTTACGAGTGACCACTGAGGGCTGGGGTTTCAAACAAACATGTTTAATCCGTAAAACAGTTTGGGGAAGTGGAAGTTACTGGCTCTACTTAAAGGTACAAACCAAGGCACAGAGAGGCTATGTAACTTGTTTCAGAAGGTGGCAGATTCAGAATTCAAATCCCTGCCTGTCAGTAACCAGCACCTTGGTGCTCTGCATTCCTCAGACTCCCAGGACAATCACTGAGACTCAGGGGAGAGTGGGAAGATACCACAGGCATTCATCATGCCTCCAGGCCCATTCTAAAGGCAACTGAAGTGAGAGGAGCAGGGTCCCAGGTGAGGGAGGCAAAGCCAAGCTGGACAAGGAGCTCCTGACCCATGAGAAACCAGGGCTGGAGGGAGTCCGAGAAAAGAGAGCTCATTGTGGCCTGGAGCAGGCACGGAGGACTTACTGGAGGAGGTGAGACCAAAAGTTGTAGACCTGGCAGGAGACAGCAGGGACACAAAGTGAAAATGGGACCCTGAACACAAGGCCAAGGGGTTGGGCCTGTCTCCATCAGAAGCAAGAGCCGCCGATCCTGGCGGGGAGGACAAGGCAGAGAAAGTGTGTCCCAGCTGCAATGTCCTGTGGGCAGGAAGAAAGGAGACAGGCTCTGCCACCATCACCAAGAGCCAGGGCTCCAGCGAGATGGGGAAAGAAAACCAGAAGAGAAAAGGCCTGGTCAGGAGCTGTCCCTCTGCAAGGACCCAGTTAACCCCACAGAGCTTACTAAAGGGAGTTGTGTTTAAGCTGACTTTCACCTCAAATAAGCCAGCCGATTCATTAACCAGGGAAGTGAGGTATGCTGCGGACAGAGAGGGTGAAGGGCTGGAGGGCGGAGGACGGAGGACGCCCCCCACCCTGCCTTGGCCATCTCAGGGACAAGGACACTCCCTAGGGCAGGCTCTGCGGTGTTCTTTATCTCCTACAGGCAGAGATACCTGCCCCACGAGCTCGTTCATGGTCAGCATCTGAATTTGGTCTCCACAGAAGCAGCGGCCCTTCAGGTCCTCAGTTTCACTCTCGCCATCTGGATGAGCACCCACAGGGTGCTGCCTGCAGCCCTGACCCCCTCCTCATCCTCTCTAGTCTCTGGACAAGCTCTCCCCCGTAGATAGGTCATGGGGGCTCCCTTCAGGGATGCAGGTCTGAGCGCTTAGGGATCTCCTCAAAGGGCCCAGAAGGTCAGCAGCCAAGTAGGGGCCCCTGAAGAGGGAAGTTGCAGCTGAAACCTGGGCCAGGTATAGCAGACACTGGCCTGATACCACCTCCCCTCACCCCACTACTCCCAGACACACATTCAGACGCATGCTGTCTCCCCCCACCCCTAGAAAGCCCCCAGCACCAGAAACTGCCCTCCTCTTGCCAGTAACCATCTATAGGTTAACGGGTTTCGCTAAAGTGGGCCTCATCTGTGCTGTGTTTGCAGTCACACCACCATCACCCTCGCCAACATGCCGAGGCCCACACTGACAAAGGCACCCACAGACACACACCCAGTTTCACACATGCTCCAAATAGGGTGGAAAATAAATGTACCCACCAGGGACACAGTGGCTGGGGGCGGGCACAGACTGGGGCATCAGAATTTATCTCGTCAGCATGAAATGACAGAAAACACAGCAAGATGGCCGGCTAATGAGTTGGAGAAGTCAGAAACTGAGACAGCTCAGGAAGGTGTCCTGGGAAAGAAGGGGTTTGAGATGCTGAGGGGCTGCCCCCCCGGAAGGGGGCAGGTGCGGCACCAGGGTGAAACATCTCCCAGGGTCTGCCGCCACATCCCTCACCCTTCCAAAGGACCCAGAACAGGCCCTGGGAAGAGAGGCAAAGCGGGCAGCTGAG